TTGATAATGATGACGATGCTATTGAGATGCGCGTTGGTGCTTCTGATAACATGCTCGGTGATGATGCTACCAAAAATTTTAACGGTGATAATGATAATGTTGATGATGATACTACTACCACTACTACTACTGCTACTACTACTACTACTACTGCTGCTGCTACTACTACTACTATTACTACTACTACTATCTCTGATATTGTAGATGGTAATGTTATGCATGTTGATGATGATGACGATGATGGTGATGATAATAATAATAATAATAATAATAATAATAATAATAATAATAATAATAATAAAAATAATAATGATGATGATGATAAAGATTATAAAGATGATGAGGATAATGATAATGATGATGATGATGACGGTGCTATTGGTGGTGTAGAAAAATTATCACATACTGCCTATGATAATATAAGTGATGACGAGAAGAATAACAATACCCTTCCCACCGCTGCTGCTACTACTACTACAACAACTACTACTATTACTATTACAAATGATACTATAGATACTAATAATGATACCACTACTGATACTACTACTACCGGTACTAGTGATACATTTGACTCTAATGATACCACTACTGATATTAATTATACTACTACTACAGAAACTACTGATACTGTTACTGATACCGCTAATGATACTCTTGATACTACTACAGATACTATTTCTACTACTATTACAGATAATACTAATTTTGATGGTCCTACTACTACTACTACTACTACTACTACTACTACTACTACTACTACTACTACTACTACTACTACTACTTCTGCTAAAAATATCGAAACTTATATGTTTGATAATGACGATACTCTTGTTATTGCTACTACTACTTCTACTGCTGCTGCTACTACTGCTGCTGCTACTGCAGCTGCTGTTGCTACTGCTGCTGCTGCAGATGATAATGATGATAGTGGAAAACTTGTGAAAGATGACGACGACGATGACGTCATTAAAAGAAATGACGTCAACATTAATACTATCAACTATGGTAATAATAATAATAATAATAATAATAATAATCATAATAATAATAATAATAATAATAATAATAATGACGATGACGATATAAATACTAATAATAATGACGATAATAATAATAAGAAGAATGATGACGGTGATGATAGTGATCCAAACTCATCGTCGACGACGTCATCAACTTCGGCGACACCGTCGTCTGTGGAGCCACCGTCGCCGTTCGTACTGAATAATAACAACAACAACAATAATAATAATAATAAAAATAACAGCAACAACAATAATAATAAAAATAATAACAATAATAATACTAAGAAGAATAAGAAGAATAAGAAAAGAAACAGAAAGGGAAAGTTTTGATAGCTACTACTTACCGCTGCAACTTCTACTACTGCTACTACTGCTATAACTACTTACGACTACTACTACTACTTTTACTACTATAACTAATGATATTAGTACTAATTTTGCTATGTGTATTTAAACCGCTAAATTATTATCTCTTACTACTACTACTACTGCTACTACTGCTGCTACTACTACTACTACTACTACTACTACTACTACTACTACTACTACTACTACTACGACATCAACTACTACTACTGTTACGACTACTACTACTATTACTACTACTACTATGATTACCATTACCACTACTAATACTATAATACCACTCTCGAACTAATACTAGCAGTAAAAAATATTTTTTGAAAATTTTGTTAAATATTTGTACATTGCCACTTTTGTTATTACTCAAGTTAAACCATACTTTATGTATATTATTTGATATTGTCTTACTTTTTTCATAATTTCAATATATATATATATATATATATATATATATATATATTTACAATATTCTATAAATTTTATAGCATATTGTAAAAATTATGGTCTATTACCAACATATATATATATATATATATATATATATATATATATATATATATATATATATGTATACCATATGTGTGTATATATATATATATATAAATATGTTATATATATGTTTACCGTAAAATGAATACAGATTTATTTTTGCAATCATATTTCTACCAGATTTTTATATCATTCATTCATTTTTTCCATCTATCCATCCATCAGTTAGTGGTTTTACTCTTCTCTTACTCTTCTTCCAATTAGAGTATATATATATATATATATATAATGTGTGTGTGTGTGTGTGTATATTATATATATATATATAATTGTTGACATCAGAATACAATCTAATGCTTATTAAATTTAGTACAATATTTACTTTTTACTGCCCTATACTTTTGTCTTAATAAATTGCACTATACTTGTGTTAGCGCTAGAGAAATGTATGTACAAATGAACTAGGGTAACTCTATATACCACAAATCCATGAACACGGGCATGTACATTTGATTTTTTTTTTTATTATTATTTTTTAATAATATGATTGCATCATTACACTACATTACATTATGCAAACTTATCTGTAATCAGATAATGCAATGACACCTTTTTTTTCCATTGATTGATAGTTTATTCGTTTAATGTCTATCCCACACACACACACACACACACACACACACACACGCACACGCAGGAACGCACGCATACAAACACACAAACACACACATATATATAATGTTTGTATATGTAATGTATGTACGTACATAAATATACTTATAGTTTGTTAATGTTATTTATCCTATGTTTATTACGTATTTTAAATTCTATATTGCGAGATGGATGGTCGAGTGTTTATTGACATGTACCTACCACTAATCTTTGCACTATTTTTAGTTATTGTTATTCTTATTTCTTATTATTATTCTTGTTATTCTTATATAAATATATATTATATATATATATATATATATATATATATTTAGGAACGAGGTTTTCAGAAATGCAAATTTCATTGAAATTGTTTGCCCATTTTGCATTAATTAACTTCTTTATAAGACATTCAACGAGGCGGTATTGTTTGAGTTCATATTTAGTTCGCCCGA